GGTTGGTCTCTGGAAAACAAGTGGTTTAGGACCTGAGTTAAATGAGGGTTTGACTTTAATTGTCTCTGAGGCTCCTTACATCTCTGGTCTCCTATGACTCTTGATGCATGCCTAGGGTTGAAGGACAGAGTTGCTGTGGGCTTATTCGGGATCTGCAAAGCCGAAGCCAGGCCATGGCAGTTCATTAATGAGAAGACTGTGTGGTGATGGCTGTTGAGAAAAAGTAGTCAAACAAAGTCTTAGAAATAAACCTCTGACCGAGAGCAGAAGTCTCAGTGCAATCATGGGTCTTTGCGGAATGGACTAGCTCATAGTGAATGTTTCCCATCTTCATCTTGTCCTTTCTGGAATTTAATTGCCTTCAGAATCAGTAAAATTCAACCATGGCTAGAGACCTTTGATGATGTGGAGTGGGGAAAGTTCCAAACATTGGAGAAGTGAAGGAAAAGGTAGAGGGCAGAAAGGGGGAGGGAATGGGAGGGAGAGAATGAATATAATAGCAGGAAAAAAACCTCAGCTATCAAGGCTAGAATGCAGGCTTTGTTAGGGTAGTCTGCTACGCCACTGAGATAACCAGGGCTGCAATAGTTCAGATCCACCCCCGTCCCCCCCCACCCCGTCTGCCCTTGGGGTCAAGCTGGCTTTCAGTGTTGCAAAGAGGACCCCAGAGAAAAGTCTAAAATGTTTATTTCAGTGGAAGGGTTAAGCTTCTTGGGGGAGGCAAAGTCACTGAATGAAGAGATTACCTCCAAGAGTGACCTGGACAAGGAAGTCACAAGGCGAGTGGCTTCTCCGTGGTTAATGTGCTAAATGCACCATTTCTGAGCCCTCTGTTTACAAGTGGTGGTGACATTTTTATCGGTGAGCCTGTGATCAGTCTTCTCAGAGTGCTTTGACTCTGCTAAACGTCCGGAGGGTGATATTTAAGAAGGAAAGCAACATTCGCTGTTTTCCAAATTTCAACTCTTTCACAATGCAGTGTGTTCCTTATATCAAATGTCCGTCGTGTGACCAGGCAAATGGAATTATGTCATGCTGAAAGTAAAAAAGGCTCCGGTCATCTATTCAATCAGGGGAGATACAGATAAGAAAGAAATGTTTCATTTGGTTCCTCATGCTCAGCTCCTCCGTATTGTTCAATTGTTACCTGCCACTCACCCAAGACACACAGTGTATTATTGACTGAGATAAGACAGCCTGCATTCTGTGTGCCTGGCGTCAGTACAGGTATTGAAAGAAATCACATCGATCTAAATTTGACCCCAAGTGGAAGGAAGGAGGGTCACCTGAACAGGGACTGTGAATGATGTCACTGTGCGAATGATAGCTTTTTCCTTCCTTCCTGTCCTGCTAGAGCTAATGCCTCACCTCCAAACACCCTCTCCTCTGGGTGTCTATCACAGAAACCCCACATCTGTTTGTGCATCTAACATTGGGTAACTGAAGCAATATTTCCACAAGAGAAGTAAGGTTCCTGAACACTTGCTCACAGTCCCTGGCATATATCAGGAGACATTCTCAAATATTTCTTGCTGTAAATGAGTAAAAATAAATGATTTCTTTTTTTTTTATAAAGATTTTATTTATTTATTTGACAGAGAGATAGACAGAAGAGCACAAACAGAGGGAGTGGCAGAGGGAGAGGGAGAAGCAGGCTCTGCACTGAGCAGGGAACCCGATGCGGGGCTCGATCCCAGGACCCTGGGATCATGACCTGAGCCGAAGGCAGACGCTTAACCATCTGAGCCACCCAGGCACCCTAAATAAGTGATTTCTGTTTGAAAATTCAATTTTTTTTGTTTTGTTTTTTGACAATTTGTGGATTTTTTTTTTTCCATAGTGACTTCCCAAATGGGGCGGGGAAAGTTTGGAAACAAATCCAATACTCGTTAAAATCACAGACAATAATTTGGATGGATAACAATTTTCAAGATCCAAAAAAAAACCCCAGAGATAGGGTGGAGATCTGAGCCAAGTTTAAAAGGAAGAAATTGAATTCTCAACCACGCACCTTCAAGATGGAAGAGAAATGGTTTACCAGCAGCATATGCAAATATAGCTAAATTTTCCTCAGCTATGTTGTATGAGTGCCAGAAACGCTAATGCAATTCTAGGCGCATTGTCTATGCTTCCACAGAAGCATACAAAGAGGAAAAAAAAAGGGAGGCAATAATTTCACTCTATTTTGAGGTGACACCTTGTGGGCAACCAGTTGATGAAGAGCCACAGGAGAGCGTCCCAGTGGTAATTTTAGAAATCTTGGCAAATCTAAAAAGAGGAATCTGGTTAGCCTCAGGGGTGGCAGGGAGAGGGTTGAGGGTGTCACAGAACCAACGTGAGTTTGCTCCTTGGTGAGTCGCAGGTAGACACTGCACCCAGGTAAGTTGTCACACAAAGGAAACTTGACCTGCAACAGATAAGGAGATCACAGGGAATAACTTAGTTAGGGTTGGGGTGACTATTTAAAAAGCGGTCCTTGTCACCCTGTGTAGAGATGGGCATTGGGTTGCACATGTGCCTTAAGGAAACATGCCTATCCGTATTTTGTATGTTATGTAAATGAGGCTTGTGCTCCTCCTTGGGATAATGAGGTAAAGGTGGTTGTCGGTAGTTCTGGAGGCCACTCCATGGTCCTTCTGAGCAGACGCCAGTAGGGGGTTTAGCTCAAGCTGGTCTGGGTGGGCTGCGTGGGCTGCAGGTCTTGTCAGGGCATCTGCTATCCCCGGAGGGGTGGTTTCCACTTTCATGTGCCTGAGGTAAGAGGTAAGCTGGAAAGAAGAGCTTAAGGAAAAATAGGGGGCAAAAGTCGGTGCATACAAGCAGGTGGGCAGTGAAAGGTCAGGTCTTGGGGTCTAGCTGGTGACGAGGGCACTAGATAAACACTTACAGGCTGGTTATGTGGACCAGGTGGATTACACGGACACTGATGGCTCCAGCAGACAGAACCAGAAACGGTATGTAGAAGTTGCAAAAAGACAGGTTTGAGTTCAGGGTAAGGAAGAACTTTCCAGTAGAGTTGCCCCTCTAGGGGCATGGAGGAGTGAGGTTCTCAAGTCAGATATATATTCAAGAAGAGGCTGCATGGCCCCCTACTGAATAGTTCCTATTGGGTCAGCCTCGATGTGTCACTAAGGTGTCTTGTCACGCTGTGGCTGGGATTCCCTGGCCATGTGGTAAAATAGAGCCAACTGGCCTGAAAGAAGAGAAGTGCAGCGTAAGGTCTCCGAAGTGGGACACCCGTCAGTATCTTCCACTCTCCCCGGGGCCTGAGGACGAAGCAGGCAGCTGTCTGAGGTGCCAGAGGGAGCTGGCCTGAACAGCCAGTTGTGTTCCTCTGGTGTTCTTCAGGCTTGTTTTAATGCCTTCTGGGCTTTCTTTTTTTTACGATTTTAATTATTTATTTGAGAGAGAGCGAGCACAGAGGGGGAGTGAGAGGGAGAAGCAGACTCCCTGCTGAGCCGAGAGCCTGACTCAGGGCTCAATGCCAGGACCCTGAGATCAGAACCTGAGCCGAAGGCACACACTTAACCGACTGAGCCACCCAGGCGCCCTGGGCTTTCAGCTTTTCTGTTCCTGATATAGATCTATTGCTCTACCCCACTCCTGTCTACACACACACACATCATGCACTTCCCTAAAGCAGAAGGAAACGCATAGGAAATGTGTAAAATGAGCTAGACTCCGAGCTGGGGCTTCCTCTGCCCTGTCCCAGGAGTAAATGAATCCATTTCACTTTCTTTTCTTTTATTTTTTTAAGATTTATTTATTTATTTGACAGAGAGGGGGAATGGGAGGGAGGGGCAGAGGGAGAAGGAGAGAGAATCTTAAGCAGACTCCGTGCTGAGCGCAGAGTCTGCCTGCTGCGGGGCTTGATCTCACGACCCTGAGATCACGACCTGAGCCAAAATCGAGAGTCGACCGCTTAAGCGACTGAGCCAGCCAGGCGCCCCCACCCTTCCCTTTCAAAGGTTAGGCTGGGTACCTAAAGTCGGACTGTGTGACTGGATTGATTTTTCTAGTAGAAATCGACTGTTTTGAGACAACTGTATGCATTTGCTTCTTGGTTTCTTTAAATGTTCTATGGTACGTACACATCCTGAATGGAGATAAGAATCTCAGGCACAAAGTTATTTTTGCAGTGATGTGGAAGGAACATTAGGTATTTCAGCTAAACAACTCTGCAGCCCTGCGTAACGCCCAGAAGTGGTGTGATCTATTTGTGTTGCCTTTCCTAGGCTACTTGCTTTTTCCCCTTAGGTTTTTTTCCCTCCTGTAAAACGGAGATCATAATAGCACCACTCCTTAGGGTTGTGAAAATGAAGTAAGTTAATACATGTAAAGAGCTTCCATCGGTACCAGGTGCATACAAAACAAGTATTAGTGTTATTATATACTGTTTCAGGAGTCCTTTCGACCTCCTCCAGTATTAGTAATTTGCCAGAAAGACTCACACGTCCCAGAAAAGCTGTTATACTCAGTTATGGTTTGTTACAGCAAAAGAATACAGATTAAAATCAGCAAAGGAGAAAGGTGCATTGGGTGGAGGGCAGCTGCAGTTGTCCTGACGGAGCTGAATGCCCTCGGCAGTGTGACAACATGCATCAGTGTGGCCGACCAGGGAGACTGCCCCCCGCCTTGGGGTCCAGGATTTCTGTTGGTGAGGAGGAGTCAGTCACACAGCATGCAGTCTTCAGCTCCTCCTTCCCCACCTGCCCCCACGAGAAGTCAAACTGTCATAGTGTGACCCCACGCCCGGACATACAAAAAAGGCGTTCACAATGAATCCTGTTGCTGGCATAAACTATATGGCAGGGCCTAAAGTCTCAGGCACACAAAGACATTTTTTCAGGCGGGATACTCCAAGGGTTCAGAAGAGCCAGTCAAGGGACATTTGGAATGTGGAAGGTTTGGGCAACTCAGACTCCCAAGGTAACATTTTACTGCACATTATATATAAATTTTGCTTATTTGAACAATCAAATTCAACCATTTTCCTAAGGCTTGAAATACTTTTTTTTAGTATGTGAATATTTATTGTTTATCACATGTGTATCTCTTATAACCTTCTCTCTATGAGCTGGAAAACAATTTCAGTTTCAAGCCACGTTGTAAACCCAAAAAAGAAACTGTTACTATCCAATCGAGAGGACATATCAGAAACTAAAGATCACTACTATCATTGCAATAACAGTGATAATAGAATGCTCCACAAATTTTAACTAAAATTACATGCCAAATGCTTTATGAATATTATTAGTTTTAGGCCTTATCAACAACCGTGGGAGGGAGGTAATGGTTCTCTTTTACAGGTGAGAGAGTAAAGGTCCAGAGTTTTAAGAACTCCCTCGAGGTCCCTCAGCCAGTAAAGGGCAGAGTTTGCATTTACCGATCTGATTCCAAACCTCATGGTCATAACATCATGCATGATAGTTTCCTATGACGTTGAGAAACAAAGCCTCTAAAAGTATTTTGAAACATTAAAAAAAATCCAACAAGATTTATTTGATTTGATCTCACGATCCACAGAATGTTTAGACACCGGGGCAGAGTTGTGGCTAGAACATGTGTTGCTTTTACCAACAGAAGAGATCTTGGCAAAGAAGTTTCTAAGATGCCTCTCTCCACAAATATGTGATGTAGAAGGCAAAAAAGCAAGGAAAAGAGAGATACCAAAAGGAGGAAAATTATATAGTTATTCTGAGTGTTTTGATTAATAAGGGGAACATAAAATCTGAATGTTCTCCAAGATTCCAAAATTGTTGCCACCATGAATTGTCTGTAATTGTATCTTTCTCCTTCCCCTATTATTAGATCTCAGTCTGTGGTAGAAGCTGGGACCCTGAAACATGAGGAGAAGGGAGAGAATGAGAACACTCAGCCACTCCTGGCTCTGGACTGAACCCCGAGTCACCCCATGCTCTCGCAGATCGCCAGCCTTCAGTGGTATCAGCCACGCAGGAAGCACATGAGCGACTGACCCACACAGACACGTGCGTTCCGCTTGACATAAGGCCCTCCACTTCTGCCATCTAGTAATAACTGTCACCAGCCATTGGTCTGAGCAGCCAAAGTTTGAACAAGGACTTGAGAGATGCTTTTTGTTTTTTTTTCAGTGAGGGGACTGGAGATGAAGCAAGGCAGTCATGTAAACATGATTCTTCCTCCCCCATATTTATGGTATTAAATAAATTGAAAAAAAGAAAAACTAAATTTGATGCACACACTGCATTAGTACCAGGATTTTTCTGAGGTACCGCAGAGACCCTTTCCAGGTTTTGTGACTTAAGATTAAGTGCATTTCCAAGTAGATACATGAGAATGAAACCGTGCAGACCCAATTGTCAAGCTCAATGCAGTGCAAAGCCCCAAGACAGTAGTATCTCCAGGAATTTCCATTCTTACTGAATTATTTTCTTTGACCTCATCACCAGCATTGAATTGTTCAGCCCAAGGGCATGTTCTTATAGGTCTGGCTCTTTGCAGAGTTTGCTTGTTTTGAGATCCTGCAAGAATGATTTTGACGTCACATCTTTTGTCAGGCTACCAGCTGATTACCGTGATCGGACTTTAAACGAAGACACACACAACTTGAAATATGATTATTTCATCTTAATAATGTGACTTCCCACAGGCAACATGAGATTGCGGAGGGGGGGCGGGGCCTCATTGAAAACACTTGTCAGTGATTAATGGCTCCATTCAAATTGCTTCACTTGGGTCACTACAGGCAAGAAAAGTGCTACAAAAGCATTTAACTCCCCCACCCTCCCGCAACCAGCTAAAGGTGTGGAGAAGGGAGCTGGCTGTTGCTGAGAGGGTAGGTACCAATCATGGAGGAAGACCCTTAACGATGGCTAAATATGCAAGTACTGACAATAAGAGAAGATTAGGAATGTGGGATAAAATGCCAAAGATCATTTTATTTCTTTGTCTATTCTCCTTAGAAATGGAGAGTCCCCAACTATCCATTCAAAGGAAATTAAATAAACGATAACACAGGATAAGATATCCTTACTTGTGCCACGTTTCCCAAAACGAGTTGTGTGTTTTAAGGCATCTCTTATCTTCCCAGCCATCCACATGACATGGGCATTTATCAGTAGGACCAGCTGGTGCTCAATGTCAAATAAAAAATATTTTAGTTGATAATGGGCAGAAAAATATGATTGTATGTTTTCAGGATTTGGGAGGGTTAGCTAAAAAATTCAGAGAAAAGAGGTGATTCGACTGGCCATAATCACCCTCAGTAGATATTATTACTAATCTTAACCATTTATTACATCTCTTTCTCAATGAATCTAGTGTTTTAATTTTTTTTCTACTGGCAGAGGAGAATAAGAGAAGTAATTTTTGTATTCCACCCTTGAAATAAAATTGAAATAGAATTAAAAATATTTCTCAACCGATTGTATCATGGTATAAATAAAACCCATTTTGTGTAGACATTTCAAATAACAAAATAGTAACATTGAGATAATTCTACCCATGCAGTGACTGAAACACTTTTCTTATATTCCATGACATAGGGAAGAGAGATAAAGAATTAAAGTGAATTAGAAAATCCATTTTATGACTTGGGTTTATAAAATAGTTGTGGGATCCAAGTATTTAAAATGCGTTTGGAGTCGATTATTGCCAACACTTTGCAACAGTAATAATTCTGGCTTTTCAACTGGCAATATTTAGAATCCTACTGTAGTGACCTGATTTTAAATACCATATTATAATCATTAAGTTAAGAGCTAGTTTTTACTCTATGCCATGATTTCATTAAATGAATGTAAGATGATGGTTTAACATTGACAACTTATACTTTAAATTTCTTTATGTGTATGCAATATACATCCAAGAACCAAATTCAGCAAGTGACATGAATGTTATTACATGAGCACTGGATTGTATTGTCCTCTGTCAGTCATTTCTTCTGTTCAATAAATACTGAAGGACACAACACCTTTTGATTTTTCAAGAGCTTGCTTTTTCTTCTGGACTTTGGTAATTAATTTGGAGACTTTCCTCACATGCTTCTTCATCTGTATTAGTGGGATTGTTTTTGGCAAAACAGAAGGGAACAGGACCAATATTTTGCAAACCCTTCTAACTGGAAGCTAATGTCAAGCAAAAAGGGTACCTTTCAATGGTAAAGAACTCTTTTTAAAAGAGATAAAGAAAGCATCCTCCTTTGTCCTTAGATGGAAAGGAAGCACAAGTGTTTTTTTCTACCCCTGAATGAAATCTGGTAACCTCGGTGTCATTTCTTCAGCATTTTTGTTCATATTGGCTTAAAATTCAGGTGCATGAATAGCCTTACATTCATATAGCTAACATTTCTAGTTTGATTGGAAACATGCAATATTTAATACATTAATGCCCTTCTAAATTAATAATTTGATTGTCTTTGGAATAAGTAGGCAAGGCCATTTTTTCAACTGTTATTTCTATGCTGTGGATATTATTAAAGCTAAACTATGGATAACAACTGCTACTTCTAAGCTATATTTAAATGGCAGAAGTTTCTCAAGCCAGGGAAATGGAAGAGTCTTCCAAACTCTTTCAAAGAAGAAGGCAATCCTAAACCCAGCACTAAGATCCTGGGATTCTTGGTCTTCTGCTCTGCCATCTTTCATATTTTTACAAAGCTGTGATGGGGATCCATGTAAGGACCTCCTCGCTCACAGGGATCTACAATAGGCAAAGAGACTCTGGATTCCAGCCCTGTCTCAGATGCCAAAGAGGCCAAGGAGCCAGATGTCCTAGCAGCTACCTATCTACCCGACCCTGAGAGAAAATTTTTACTTTGAGAAATGTTACTTTTTTTTTTCACGTTCTAATTCTTGGCATTAAAAAAAATTATAGGTGGCACTTTTATGACTCAAGATAAAATGACTCCATGTCCTGTTTCAGGATGAAAAGCTCCTCTTGGAAAGACAGCATCTCTCTACCATGTGCATGGCGAGGAGACACATTAAGACAATGGCTTTCAATGAAGATAAGAAAGCAAACAGTCTCAGTGGGTGGGAAGCAATACGGTTCACAGACATCAGCATAATTACATCTTTCTCCTTTGGATCAGGAAAATAAAATTGCTTCTTTATGAGTGTCTTTTACTAAAAATAATTAAAAGAGGGAAGTCTGAGTTCATGGGGGAAGTCACCATTAAGCAGCTAGAAGTACAGCATTTACACAGCTTACTATTAAACTCAAGAAAAAAGTAGTGGTACATGATGAAAAACATGGCCTAGCTACCCTAGAAAAATATAATTGCATAGAAAAATTACTAAAGTGATCCATTCACAGTTTCTACATATATTCTCATTGTACACTGATTCAGGCCTCTTCTAAGTGGGAAAAATATCTTTGGCTGACAAGGCAGAAGCTCTCACGTCTTCACTGGAAATACGGCATCGGATGGGTGCTGTCGTGGGATGAAGGACAGCAGGGGGCTTTCCACGTGAATTATAGCAAGGCAAAATATTCCATTTAGTGTCTTCTAACCCTAGGAGGAGCCTTAGAATTTTGGGAGCTGCCCGTCAAGGGAATGAAGGGCCTTCAGACTCGGAACCTCTACCCCTACACCCAAGGAGACAGAGCCAGCAAGGCAGCCTCTCTCCAGTGTGTCCCAAGCCTGCATGACATGCTAAATCGCCGGAAGGCTCTGTCTCTGCTGGGGTGTCAGCTCTGGGTGCCACACATCCACAATGAAGATCAGCCGGAAAGACGCGGCGTCCTGCCACACCTCGTGCTCAAAAGAGTCGTCAAAGATGAGCACCTTGCCTTCTTCCCATGTCCTGGAACAGAAAAACATGGATTCAGATGCCTGAGAACCAATCCCTGGCTACGTGCAGAGACGGGCACTTTCACGGTAACCTTTGGGATCTGGCCAGAAAATTGGAACACGAAGCCGAGATGGATTCTTCCCTTGGTGATTAAGAAAGAATTTCGGGATTTTTACCATGAACACAGTTTTCAATGCTCAGCCCTAAGAGTGTGCAAAGGGCAGACTGACCTTATCACAGGCCCTGCAATTATTCTTGGCCCAAGCCTAGGTGAGGCTTGTTGAGGCAGGCAAGCAGGCAAAGGCGTGCCCCGGCGGCTCATGCCCACGGTGACTTCCCGGTCAGTGACTGCATGCTATCCTGCCTGGCCTTTCAGAGACTGGTCTAGACCTGTGGGTACCACACTTGGGCTCAGGCCTCCCAGTGCCCTGGGGGCTACTTGGCACGGGGCCATCGCATCTCCAAGTGATTTTTCTCAACCCCTTCCATTTGTTGAAGTTCCATTTTATGGAAGAAAGTTCCATTTAATGGAAGGGCAGATTGGGAATGAATTTTGTTTATATTTTTAATGTCATCTGCAGTGCAAGTGGGTTATCCTTGGAATATTTTAAGTCAATGCTGCGAAACATCCTTTAGGGTCTCCAGCATTACTTCATAAAATATGTGTATAGGAGCTAAGACCTAAACAAGTGCTTGTCTAAATAAAGCAATCAAGAGAGAAATGAGCAGGGGCAATTACACAATGCCTTTCAAATTCAAAGAAAGTTTATTGCTCATGTTAATGTTCTCCTCTTGTTAAAATAGGCATTAATTGCCAATATATTGCATGCTGAGTTCTGTTTTTTAAGATGGAATTTTTACTAGGAAATTTTCTTTAGATATTAAAATTCCACTCAGGCATTTGAAATTTTATGTCACAGATTAGCAAATAATTAAAATTATAGGACAGAAAATGTTAGCTTGATTTCAAGTTACTGCATTCTCATAAGGAAGTTTGCCTTAAGAAAAATTATTTGTGTCTTTTTATGCTCATTACTAGGTGATTAATCAGTAGTAAATTAGGTAATATTTCCTACTGCAGGGTTTCTCAACCTTGGCCCTAGTGACATTTGGGGCCAGATAATTTGCTGTTGGGGGTCATCCTGTGCTCTATGTATGCTTGGCAGTAATCTCTGGCCTAGAATCTCTAGCCACTAGAAGCCAGTAACACGCACTCTCCACCAGTCATGAGAACCAAACCTGTCTCCAGTCATTGCCAAATGGTGGGGTGGTGATGAGGGGTGAGAGGCAAATTCATCTCAGACATACTGCATTAATCTGACAACAACATTTCTAAGTTGTTTAAAGTAAACAATAAAGTAATGAATATTTGCAAGTTAAAAGTTCCTTGGAATTGAGAGTCAACCTCCACTTCAGCTCCCCACCCCCACCCTCCTGCCCCACTTTATGCGCTATCTCACACCCCTAGCCTAATACCTTGCATTCAATAAACATGGGCTGCTTAACTCTTCTGTATGATTCCTCTTAAGAATCAAAGAGTTCTACTGGAGTTCCATCCAAGTGTAAACCAACAACAGAAATATAGAGACACAGGAACAAATGACAAATTAAAAAATATGTATTATTACCATGCAAAAAGCAAACTTGAAAAGAAAGGCAACATTAAGAAGAGAAAAAAAAAATGACAAGGAAAAAGAAATGAAATGACCCACAGCTTATACAGTTTAGTGGTGATTTTCTAGGTCTTAGTGTTATTGGTGGGACTGTGCAATGTCTATGGGTACCCCAGACAAGCCTAAATATAGGCAAACGGTAAGGGGGATGCTCTCAAGAGGGAAAGGCAGGACCCCCGTGTGCACAGCAGCAATACCCACAATAGCCGAAGGTGGAAGCGACCCAAGGGTCTACTGACAAACGAACGGGTAAGCAAAATGTGGGGTATGCGCACAATGGGGTATTCTTCAGGCTTACATAAAAAGGAAATCCAGAGAATGCCACAGCATAGACATTGTGACATTTTGCTATGTGAAATAAAGCCCTCATACAAGAACAAATATTGTGTGGTTCCACTTACGGGCGGTACCCAGGGCAGTCTAATGCACACAGACAGCAAGAACGATGGCGAGTTGTGGTTTAGCGTGTACGGGGCTTCAGTAAGATGAAGAGTCCCGTGAAAGGGTGGACACTGGCAACGGCAGCCCGACGGAATCGTACGTAACACCACTGAACTGTATGTACATTTAGAAATTGGATGGTAAATTTTATGTTCTGTGTGTTTCACCACAATTGAAAAGGGGAGAAAAAAGGGAAAGGGAAAGGGGAGCATATGGTCAAAGAGAAAGGGGGCGAGAAACAGCAGAGGGCAATGGAAAAGTTATAGCCCTGAGGGGAAGCAGATTTGAACCTCTTGGCTCTGCCGTTTATTACTATGTGACCTGGGGTGAGTTGCTCGGCATCCATGAGCCTTTGTGTCTTTTTTTGTTTTTTTAAGATTTTTATTTATTTATTTGACAGAGAGAGACAGCAAGAGAGGCAACACAAGCAGGGGGAGTCGGAGAGAGAGAGAAGCAGGCTCCCCGCCGAGCAGGGAGCCCGATGCGGGGCTCGATCCCAGGACCCTGGGATCAGGACCCGAGCCGAAGGCAGACCAGACACTTAACGACTGAGCCACCCAGGCGCCCCCAAGAGCCTTTGTGTCTTTATCGGCATAGCTGATGTGAGGATTAGCATATGATGGGCACATAGTAGATATTCAATTAACAGTAGAGAACATAAAACAGAGGAGGAAGGAAAACACAGGAATAAATAGGGAAAAGATAAAAGAGGTGATAATGTATGGACATGGTATAATGCTACCAAAAATAATCTTGGCTTCATGCCCTATGGATTTGCCTTCATTTGAGAAAACTGAAAATCTTGCAAGGGGATGAAATATCAAAAATCTTTCAGAGAATCTGCAATATACACTTGTGCTACAATGACAAGTGGTTCTCAATGTTTTCCGAGCGGCAGAGAATCCAGAATCTACTTAAAATACTGGAAGTAAATCAAAGACCCAAAGAGAAAATTCTAGGTTGTGCAAAATTGTATTTTTCACTAGATTTTGATGGGTGTAAGAAAGCCAAATGCCCTGATGAAACAACTTTTTTTAAAGATTTTATATAATTATGAGAAAGAAAGAGAGAGAGAGAATAGGGGGAGGAGCAGAGGGAGAGGGACAAGCGGACTCTGCGCTGAGCAGGGAGCATGCCGCGGGGCTCAATTTCAGGACCCTGAGATCATGACCTGAGCTGAGACGAAGAGTCGGATGCCTAACCAACTGAGCCACCCAGGTGCCCCAAAACAATTTTTTTAAAATAAAAAATGTAGGAGGTATTCCAAAGAGTTGGATTCCTTTTGGGCCATCAAACTCATGGGGAAGTGTGGCCCATTATCTTCTATTTGCCCTTCCATTTTTTCTCATACATTTTCCCAGAAAACAGCAAAGATACCTAATCATTTAATGTAGATTCCTTGTGAATACTTCAAAACTGGTGTCTTTCAATCACTTATGAGAGCTAAAGTGACAAAAAGTGCAGTCCTCATTAGCTTTAAAGCGAAGAACAATAAAACCCCATCCAAGCAACGTGCAGGGCTGAGTGACAGGGGTTAAGTAGAGATAGACGGCTTGCATGGGCAAGAATGAGGTTTTCCACAAAAAAAGAAAAAAAAAACAGAGCTAAAGAGGTCAAAGGTCTTTAGGTCTCTTCCAAATCACAAAGATTCATCCTTGCAAGGCCAAGAAACAGTTTTCAGGCCACTTGCTTTGTGAGCAAAGCTCCACCACATATGATTAAGTTACACTCAAAGTATGACATGAAAAGTGCCCTCTGGAGAAAAGATTTTTCAGAGTTGCCTCAGAGCTTCCTGATGGCGCCCCCACAGCCTTTCTCTGAGGATTCAGAAAAGCAGGACCAGAGAAGGGTTGTTGCACCTTCTCCCCAGAGGGCGAGCTCCTCTGGCCTTTAGAATTTCTTACCATTAGGAGAAGAATGCCTCTACCTGGTTTGCAAAAGATACAAGAATATCTGGCCAAAGATAAAGCGACATCATGTGATTTCTCAATTTCTTAAGTTGTAATTAATGATCCAGATATAATGGTGGTGGTACATACCTGCCAACCAGAACTGTGTCGCCGAATTATCATCAACATTAGTAATGCTACTAGGTAGGGGCTTATGGAGTCTTCCACCTAAAAACTTTATTGATCCTATCTCAGGGATCTTCACTAAAATGTTCCGAGGTAGGCAAGAGATGCGGTTCTAACTGTCCAGCAAAGGAGTCATATGGAAGCAAGTTCGGATGTCTGCAGTGATACGTGATTCTGTGATTCTGTCGCTAGCTGTGCTTCATCAGAGCCCAAACTTTGGCTCAAGGTCACGGGACTAGGGGATAGTCTGAGTGCTGGCTGGCTGCCCTGGTGAGGTGGCCTGTGACGCACTGAACAGGCTGAGTGGGATTCAGAAAAGGCTCAAAGAGCTCAGGAAGGAGACTACTTAACACAGTGCTTATTAATTCTGACCTACTGAAATCTCTCAGTTGTGACTGCATTAGAAATCCTGGCACATACTAGAATTGAAATGTAAAACTCTTCTCTCTCTCTACCTAATACATGCAGACAGAAACACACGCGCGCACGCACACACACACTCTCTCTCTCTTTACCTGTCTGTCTATCTAGACAAAGCACTTTTCTGGACTCTACAACATCTGCGTTCTTGTTCTGACAGCTGCGATTAGCCGTGTGATAAAGCACTTCACGTAGGGGCCTCGGTTTCCCCATTTGTGCAATGACAGAGGTGGAGAAGATGGCGTCCGAGGCTCCTTTCAGCACTAAAAGTCTCTTCATTCTCTGAGCTAAGCTATAGGTTAGGGCTTCAGTCTTCATATTACATTTCACAGGATATACTCAACAAGCTTTCACCTGAGAAATGGGTATAGTATTTGCTATTTTATTTAATGTCAAAGTACGA